TTAATTTGTATTTCCCTAATGAAATAATGGTGTTGAGTATCTCTATTCAAGTGCTTATTTGCCCACTAAATATTTTCTTTGGTGTTTGTTCTAATCTTTCAATCCAGATGCCTTTTATTTCTATTTTTGGCCTGTGTGCATTAGTAGCACAATACTTAATAAAAGCAGCAAAAGTAGACATCCTTGTCTTGTTTAAGATCTTAAGAGGAAAGCATTTGGTCTTTCACCATTAAGTATAATATTATCTGTAGATTGATCATAAATGCCACTTAGGGTTTATTCATAAATGCCCGTTAGGGTTTAAGATTCAGGTGGTTCCCTTCTATTTCTAGTTCACTGAGGCTTTTTATTAGTAAGGGAAATTGAATTGTGTCAAATGCTTTTTCTGCATCTATTTAGATAATGATATGTTTTTTCTTCTTTAGTGGGTATGTACATATGGCAAATTCCATTGATTTAGTTTTGAAATTTAAACCAATTCTAAATTCCTAGGATTAACCCCACTTGGTTATAATGTTGATATTTTTATATATTGTGAGATTTTTTTTCCCTAAAAAATTTTGCTTGAAATTTTTGCATATATTTTCATGTGGGATATTGCTGTGTTATTTTTTCTTCCAACGTCTTTGCCTGGTATTGGTATAAAAAATACTTGTCTCATAGAACGAGTTACATGGTATTCTCTTCTCTTAAATTTTCTAGAAGAGACTGTGTGGAATTTATAATAATTTTTACTTAAATGTTTGAAACAATTCACCAGTGAAGTCATTTAGGCCTGGAATTGTCTTTCTGAAAAAGGTTTTAGCCTACAAATTTGATTTCTGTAACAGAAATAGTACCATTCAGGTGTTCTGTCTTCTTGACTAAGCTTTGGTAATTTGTGTCATTTGTGAAAGTTATCCATTTTATCTGAGTTGTTAAATTTAAAGGCATAAATTTGTTCATAATACTCCCTTAATCATTTTAATATCTGTAGAATCTACAGTGATGTCACTTTTCTCTTTCCTGATATTGGCAATTTGTATCTTCTCTTTTTTATTCTTGATCAATCTGGCCAGAGGTATATCAATTATATTTATCTTTGCAAAGAACCAACTTTTGGTTTCAGTGATTTTTCTCTATCGTTTTTGGTTTTATTTCATTGATTTATGCTTTAGTCTTTATTATTCCTTTCCTCTGCTTTGGAATGAAGTTGCTCTTTTTTCTCTAGTTTTCTAAAGTGGAAGCTGAGTTCATTAATTGAAACCTTTCTTCTTTTCCAATATAAGCATTCACTGATGTAACATTTCCCCTAAGTACTGCTTTAGCAGCACCCCACAAATTCTAAAATATTCTTTCATGTTTATTCAGTTGAATATATTTTTCCAATGTCCCTTTTGGTTTTTGCATACTCATTTAGAAATGGGTTAATTTCCAAATATTAGGAGATTTTCCAGATAATTTTCTGTTGTTGGTTTTTAATTTAATGTCATTGTAATCAGAGAATATACTTTGTATTGTTTAATCTTTTAAATTTCTCAAGCTGTACTTCATGGCCCAGAATGTGGTCTACCTTGATAAATGTTCTGTGTATACTTGAAAAGAATGTGTATTCTACTGATATTGGATAGCATTCTATACATGTCAATTATGTCAAATTAGTTGATAGTGTTGTTCAGGTCTATATACTTGAAGATTTTCCATCTACTTGTTCTTTTATTATGAAGAATAGAGTATTAAAAGTCTGACTATATGTCAAATTTGAATTTGTCTATTTCCTCTTACAGTTCTACCAGTTTTGCTTCATGTAAGGATTGTCTGACTCCTTTATCATTACAGCATTAACTTCTTTATCCCTGCTAATATTCTTTGCTTTGAAATATACTTTGCTATTAATATAACTATTTCAGTTTTATTATGGCTAATGTCAGCATGGAATGTTATATTCTTTTACTTTTAACCTATTGTGTGTCTTTATATTTAAGACGTAATTGTTGAAGGCAATATATAATTGAGTTTTGCTTTTTATCTAATGTGGCAATCTCAGCCTTTTAATTGGAGTATTTAGACCATTTATATTTAATATAATTCTTGATATTGTCAAGTTTAAATCTATGATCTTGATATTTTTTTCCCAATTATTTTAGTGGTTGTTTTAGGGTTTACAGTAAACATCCTTAACTTACCACAGTCTATCTTCAAGTAATATACTTACTTCATGTATAAGAACCTTATAACAGTATAGATTTCTCCCCTCCTGCCTTTATGCTATTGTTGTATTTTAGTTATACATTTGTTATCATCCCCACAATACATTATTATTTATAAAATTATCTTTTATAAAGAGATTTAAAGAAGAAAATAAGAAAAAACATCATATGTATTTACCCTTGTAATTATAATTTCCAGTGACCGTCATTCCTTTATGTAGATCTGTTATTCCATCTGGTATCATTTTCCTTGTGCTTGATAAACCTCCTTTAACATTTCTTATAGTGCAAGTCTACTAGTGATGAATTTCTTCAGCTTTTGTATATTTGACTTCTTCTACTTCTTCTTCTTCTTTTTTTTTTTTTCTTTTTTGAGACAGGCTCTCACTCTGTTGCCCAGGCTAGAGTGCTGTGGCATCAGCCTAGCTCACAGCAACTTCAAACTCCTGGGCTCAAGCAATCTTACTGCCTCAGCTTCCTGAATAGCGGGGACTACAGGTGCTCACCACCACACTGGGCTAATTTTTCTATTTTTAATAGAGACGGGGTCTCACTCTTGCTTAGTCTGGTCCTGAACTCCCGAGGTTAAGCAATCCTCTCGCCTCGACCTCTCAGAGTTCCAGGATTACAGGCATGAGCCATTGCATCCGACCAGCTTTTGTATATTTGAAAATATCTTTATTTCACCTTTGCTTTTAAAATATATTTTTGCTGGATACAGTATGCTCAGTTGCAGTTTTTTTTCTTTTAGTGTTTTAAAGATGTTACTCAACTTTGCTTGTTTGTACTGTTTCTGACAAGAAATACATCATTCTTATCTTAGTTACCCTGTATGTAAAATGTCTTTTTTCTCTAGCTGCTTTTAAGTTTTCTCTATCAATGGTTTTGTGCAATGTGATTATTTTAGAATTCATTGAGCTTCTTGAATCTGTGGACTTATGGTTTTCCTTAATTTTTGAAAAATTTTAGCCATTATTTCTTCAAATATTTTTTCCGTCTCCTATCTCTTTTCTCTTTCCAATTACATGTCTATTTGGCCAGCTGAAGCTATCCCTACAGCTCACTGGTGCTCTCTTCATTTTTTCTAAATTATTTTTCTCATTTTGAATAGTTTCTATTGTTATGTCTTCAAGTATACTAATCTCTTCTTCTGCCATTAATCCGATCCAGTGGATTTTTCATTTGACACATGGTAGCCTAATGAGAGTCTTTTTTTTTTTATATCTTCCATGTCTCTGCTTAATTTTTTAACATAATGAATAAAATTAAAATAATTATTTTAGTGTGTCTGCCTGCTATTCTATGATCCATGTAGTTTCTGAGCTGGTTTCAGTCAACTGATTGTCTTCATTATTGTTTGCATTTTCCTGCCTTTTATGTGCCTGTTAATCTTTGGAAGCCAAACATTGTGAATTTTACCTTTTGGGTACTGGATATTCTTGCACTTCTATAAATCTTGTGTTTTGTTCCCAGATGCAGTTAAGTTACTTGGAAACAGTCTGACCCTTCTGAGTTTTACCCTCAGCCAGTCTGATGCAGTGTTTAGATTAAGGCTAATTATTTCATACTACTGAGCAAGACTGTCCTGAGTATTCTATCCAATGTCCAATGAATTACAAGATTTTCCAGTCTAGCTGGTAAGATCAAGAACTATTCCTGGCACTGTGTGAGTGCCAGGGTCTATTCCTTCAAATCCTTTCAGATGGTTTTTCCTTCGGCTTTAGGTAGTTTCCTCATATGCATTTACAAAAACAGTAATACTTTCCTGAATACTTGAAGGGAACCCTCCGTAGATTTCTGCCATTTTCCTTCTTCTCTCTCCTCTCTGATAATTTGTCCTGAAAATTCTAGCCACCTCGGTTTACGTTGACTCTCAGTTCCATTCCTCAAATTAGAGAGTCTGCTGCACTCAATCTGGGTTCCCTTTCCTTGGTCCAAGGTCTGGGAACTGTCTGAAGGCACTAAGCTGATAAATTATAGGGGACAACTCATTTGTTTTCCATCTCTCAGAGATCACTTCTTGATTGCCTCATCTTCAGTGAATTAAAAATCATTGTTTAACATATTATATCTTTTAAAAAATTGTTTCAGGTAGAAGTATGAATTCAGTCCATATTATTTCAAATGAGAAGTCCTAAATTTTTATTTTAACTTAGAAAGTCGACAAAATTCAAACTCAAAGTGAAATGTTGGCAGTCTGAGAAAATAACCATTGAGTACTAAAGGAAAAGAGATGTAAATAACTTCCTAATGTTTAGCTCCGTTTAGCAGTATTATGCTTGTTTACCAGCCTCATCATATACTGATACAGTCAACATTATCTGTGTATTTAATCCTCATGGGAAGCTCTGGATGACCTCTGATGACCTCCTAAAATGCTCCCTAATGGGGATCAGTGTTGACATTCTTATAGAAAGGTAAGATCGTGACAGGATTGTTGAGTACAGAGAAAGGAATATTGCTCCATTTTCAAGAACTCCTATGGGGTATAACTCTTTTCTTCTGTCTGAATTAAGAGGTACAGTAAAAATTAGCAATTGTTTTCAGTAAAACAGAATATCCTCAAGGAGGTGAAGAAGGAAAGGGTGTTACTTGGGATGAAGCTGGGAAGAATGTCTGTTGCCAAAATTCACAGTGACCAAATTTTACTCCTTGAATTGTGTTCTTCCCATGGAAATTTATTCTGGGGCCCTCAAGTGAGAAGCCCAAGGGCTCCCACCTCATGTTTTGATTTTCTAAGAAGCAGGAAAAAAAACCAACAAAAAAACCCTACTTGTCTCCCACCTACTAAAGATGTTGAGAATCAATTACCTGCTTGAAGCAATGGACAGGCGCTGGGACTGAACATGTTTCTTTTAGGTATTTGTCCCAGGTAAAATGACCTGTAAAGGAAATAGAAATCTCTATCACAGTCAACTTCCTAAAAAAGTGCTTTTGGCATATAATCTACACTAAACATTAAGCCATCTGCAGACTAGTTCTGAGCATAAGAAAACTTATTTTTTTCCTGTTTGGGCTCAGAGGAGTATTAGGGGGAAGAATCTAGGTGATCTGAGTGGATCATTTATATTAATATTTTAAAATCATGGTCTGAAAGATGACCTGAGATGTTTTTCATGTTAGTTCCAAAAGTGATCTAAAATGCCAGACCAAGATATACCAGTATCTCAAAGAAGTGGCCAGGAAGCTCATGGAAAACAGAAGAGGTAGAAAGTGGGTGGGGAGATAGATTCCTTTTGAATAACCTGACTCCTGGAGAGGTCCCTTATTGCCATTAAGTGACAGCTTTTAACACCCAATATGGTTAGATCCCACCATCTCAGCTCAGGAAGAATGAAGAAAAGGCTATCTAGAGATATGAGGTGACAAGGTTGAGGCAGGGTGGGGGAGGGGGGGAAAAGCCAGATAAGTGGGATTGTACTTGAATCCTCACTCTAAAAACTGGACCTTTCTCACCTTCCCCCACCCCAGTCCTATCCTAGTCACAGGTGCATTGCTCTGAGGTGTAAAATGACAAAGACCTGGTAACTTAGAGAAAAGTAGAACCTGGGAAGCATTTCTGATGACAGTAAATAAGAACAAGTTGGGGAGTGTACAGAATCTTTTAGCCTCTTGAAGTGGTCTTAGAGCCTCTCAAAGTTTGAAGAATACTGTGCTAGAGAAAAAATCTTTAAGGTGACACTATGCCAGGGCCAGGGAAAACATTTTAAGGGACAAACTATTAAATACAGATCTTATTAGCTCAAAAAAGATTATCAAGTTTTTTATTTAAAGGTTAAAGCAATTACCAATCTCCCCCTAATACCCACCTAGAGGTGACCCCATGGTGGAGCAGGGAAGGTCCCAGAGAATCTCACAAGCTAAAACACTGTAGCAAACCAGCATTTCTTGAAGTTTCCTCTGTAGTGGAGCAGCACAGGGCCCCTTTGGGCCATGCAAAAAGCACTAGATGCTGGGAATAAAAATGAGTAACTGAATGATGAAATCTAAATCACTCCAAAGATGATGCCAAGACTTTACACTCTATTGACTTTTTATAGCTTCTGTTTTAGAACTGGTTCTATTCCCACCATCTTTAACTAAGCCTAATAGATTTGGCCAGAAATCAGTCAGTTCTGAACCATTTTATGAACTGGCTGATAATTAATAATCATGACTTAGTCCCTAGGGTAAGTGAGAATATTTCCTGAAGTCAAGATTTAAAGAGGTAAAAAAAAAAAAAAAAGATTTAAAGAGGTTACAGAATTTAATGAAGATTTTGCTCCTGGCTGAGAGTGCCCTAAAGCAAGGACTGAATACATTTCATCACTGTTTGCTGTCAGAAAGAGAAAACATTAAAAATTATTGTTCCATCCTCACAAATGAAAGATTAAATCATACAGTAAGTCTTGGATTTCACCGGACTGAGAACCTTAAACTCTAGCATCTAGAGTAGCATTGTCCAATAAAACTTTGTGTTGACTGAAATGTTCTGTATCTGTGCTATTCAATAAGGCAGCCATAAATACATAGCTACATGTAACTACTGAACACTTAAAATGTGGCTAGGATAAGGAACAAATTTTTGAATTTTATTTAACTTTAATTATTTTAAATTTAAATACGTACATGTGGTCAACAGCTATTTTATCAGGCAGTACAGGTCTAGAGGTTTGGTCAGTCCTGAGTAATTGCTTGCACTAGTTTGAGTTCTGATCAAAAGCACCCAAGAGAATTTGGTTTTAAGAATTATGGCAGCAACAGGGGTACCATAATAATTAGGGTATCAATTACAGTTCTCTATTACACATATCAACTATGGCAATCAATTCCTATGCTGTAATATACACAGGGCAGAAACCTTAGACCTTCTACCACTTAGGAAACACTCTATTACTAAATGAAGGAAAAGGAATCTCTTTGTTTAAAGCAGTCTACCCCACTGTGGTGGCTGAGTGGCTTGAATCATACCTAGATTAGTATTTTCCTGTTATTTGACTGCTTATGCTATCTAAGATTTAGTCCTTTATTATCAGATAAATTGCAAAATAAGATTAATTTTTTTTTTTTTTTTTTGAGACAGAGTCTCACTTTGTTGCCCAGGCTAGATTGAGTGCTGTGGCGTCAGCCTAGCTCACAGCAACCTCAATCTCCTGGGCTCAAGTGATCCTCCTGCCTCAGCCTCCTGAGTAGCTGGGACTACAGGCATGCGCCACCATGCCTGGCTAATTTTTTCTCTCTCTCTCTATATATATATTAGTTAGCCAATTAGTTTCTTTCTATTTCTAGTAGAGATGGAGTCTCGCTCTTGCTCAGGCTGGTTTTGAACTCCTGACCTCGAGCAATCCGCCCGCCTCAGCCTCCCAGAGTGCTAGGATTACAGGCGTGAGCCATCACGCCCGGCCAAGATTAATTTTTATTGACTCAATAAGAATACTTGAACACCTACTATAATGCCCATGATGAAGGCAGACATCCTATGTCTACCACATCTCCAAGAGCTAAAATAACCACACAAAAAATAGGACAGGCAGCAAGGTATAGATCAGAAGTTGGCAAACTTCTGTAAAGGACAAGATAATAAAAATTTTATGCTTTGTGAGCCATACAGTCTATATTATAATTGCTCAGATCTGCCATCATAGTGTGAAAGCAGCCATAGATAATATGTAAATTAATAAGCATGGCTGTGTTCCACTAAAACTTTATTTATATAAATAGACAGAGGGCTGGATTTGGCTCCAAATAGCAGTTTGGCAAGCCTTTGGTATAAATCATTTTTCACAAATAATACTCAGTTTTTCTCATTTCTTTAAAGAGAGTTCTGGGTCCTACTTTCGGAAGTTCTCATTGAGTAGGCTCCAAGTGTGGCCTGAGAATATGTATTTTTGAAGACTCTCTAGGTAATTCTGATTACACCTCTGTCTAGGAACTAACAGTGTAGCTGAAAGAATGTAACATTGGTTATCAAAAGATGTTGGTAAAAGTCTTGTTTCTATAGCTAACTATCTTGGGTAAATTACTTAATCCTTCCCAAGCCTCAGTTTATTCCTCTAAAAGATAGAGACAATACCTATTCTCACAAGATTATATATACATTCTTCATTCAATAAATATTTAAATTCCTTCCAGGTAAGAAGAACTGTATTAAATGTTAGGGTAATAAGATAGGCATGGTTCTTAAGTTAATGGCACTTTCCTCCTAGAGATAAGTGGAGATATTAAATAAATAATAACAAATAATCTGCTATAATTATGATAAATTTAAATTAATGAGGTAGTACATGTTGCCTTGAGAATGTAGAACTGGAAAATCTAGTTCATATTTGGGGTCAGAGATTACTGTGAAGATTAATATTAATAACTAATATAGGTATAATATTTTATAATTTAAACATATATAATTTGAGTGTTTTCAATTAAACATTATAATTCAGAACATTCAAATATTATAATTTGAATGTTTTCAAATACTCATTCAATATATATTTATTTAGTATAATGACAAGTAGGCTCCGTACTCATGGAATTTACATTCTGGTGTATGATGAGACACAACACATACATAAAAAAATAAACAAGGTAATAAGTGATAAGTACTTAAAGGGAATAAAATGAGGTGATGTGATATCTTAGTAAAGATATGGACAGAAACTCTACAGAGGAAATACTAGAGCTGAGACTTTACAGATGAGAAAAAACCAGCCATCTCATTTATATTAATAATGCTTATGAAAGTGTTTTATAAACTCTATGCACATCACATGATAGTTGCATTTATTATTAGGATAAAAAGATTTCTGCCCTGAAGGGACTTACAGATGGCATAAAACTACCTTTAAAAAATTAAAAGGTCCATAAAATGTAAAGCACAAGAGGTTACCTAGTTGAATGCATAAATTCCCTTCTCTATTATACATTCATTTGGCAAATATTTATTGAACACCTACTATATGCCAAGCCTGGTTCTAGGCATCGGTGGTATATAGCAAATAACAATACAGTCAAAGTCTCTGTTCACATGGAGCTTACCTTCTAAGAGGGAAGAGAGACAATAAATAAATGTCAGTTCATCCAGAGGATAACAGAGACCAGATAAATAATTATACAATTTCTAGCTCTTTTCAAATAAAGAAAAAAAAATAAAGCAAGGAAAGAGGGAAAGATGTGTGTGCTATTTTAGGCAGGATGATCAAGAAAGGTTATCTTGATAAGGTGATATAAAAGTTGAGACCTGAATAGTTCCTCTAAATACTGCTTAAACACTTCCAATCATGGGATACTCATTATTGGGTTATCATTCAATAGTGCAAATGGACAAACTAACCATTATAGTAAGCCAATGCCTGCCTTCTTTTAACTTCCACTGGTCCTAGATATACTATGTCTATTCTCTCCCCAGATATGTCCCAAATCCATCAGCTATTCCTAATTTGACATGCTGACTACTCATGCCTAGCTACTGTTTTGGTCACATTCCTTTATAAGAACTCTACTTTGTTCAACCTAAATGTGAAACCAAATTTCTAAGAGCAATAAAAATAATCAAAGTGTTTAGATCTGAAATCCTACTACACTATTACTGTCCCATTATTTATATATACCAAAATTTATATAACTTAGCAATAATATTTGTCATGTAAGTGTTTTCTAATTTTTTTGATGAGTATCTTTGTGCATATAACTTTGACCATTTTAAGATTATCTTCTTAGGACAAATCCCAAAGAGTGAGACTAATGGAGGTAGAACATGCATATTTTAGATTCTGATACAATATATATCACCAAAATATCCTCTAGAAAGATTATGCCAATTTTTATTCCTACAAAAATTGCAAGAGAATGTTTCCCACATCTTTGCTAAAACTGTGTTTTAACAATCCCTATAATTTTAATAAACCTTATTAGTGGAAAAATGAAATATTGTTATACCTTTATTTGCAATTCTTTGATTACTAATAAAGTTGAAGATCTTTTTAGGCTTATCAGCCAGTTTGTATTTTATTTTTGCCGTTTTTCTGCTGAGGTATTCTTTTGTTTTCATACAAATCTAAGAGTTCTTGGTAGGTTAAGGAAAAGTCACTAGAGGTATTTTTATTTAATAGAAATAAAGCATCCAGAGCAGGTCCAGTGTTCTTTTCACTATATCACAGGTACCTCTGAAAGGACACAGATTTTAGGTAACAGAAAGAGAGGATTAGTAAGGGAGAAAAAAATCAAAGGCTTTTTTGAGGTTCTAGGAAGGTATCCCAAAATGAGAAAGGTTTGGATTTGGGTGATTCACAGATATAGAATAACAATATTCAAACTACAAAGGACCCTAGACATTCCTAAAACAAACTTTTGGCTTTCTTGGCCCCCTACCTTTGCCCATGTTATTCCTACTCAGTGACTAAAGTTCAGCAAAAATGCTACTTTCTCTGGAAAGCCATCTGACTTTTCCTGTTTCCCCAGAACAAATTCTAATATTTCCCTATGTCCTATAACATCCTGTTTACACTTTTATTTTTATACTCATCATATCCTATCACTGTAATTACTTATGTAAGTTCTTTACAGATAGGAGCTTTATTCATTTTTTTATATTCACTGTTTACCACAGCACATGAGATTGAATAGAGGCTCAATAAATGTTTTTGAGTTAATGAAAAGAAGCAGCACACAAGTAATAATCCTACTCTTGCTTTCCTGGACTAGTAGTAAATCACACCTAGGATATAGTTCTGGGAGCTACACTTTGAGAAAGAGAAAAAGCCAGAGCCTAAATGGTGACCTAGTGGTTAATGGACCCAAAACTATGTCATCTGAGGACCAGTCATCTGAGGACCAGAAGGAAAAATGAACAATTAGCATGAGTAAGAGAGCAAAGTCTCAGAGCCATTCCTCATCCATCCATCCAACAAATATTTACTGTGTATCAAAGCATCATGCTGGGTGCTAGAGATGCAACCATGATCAAAATATTATCCATGACCTTGCAGAGCTTCAGTTTAGCTAGGGACAGAGACTAAAAGAGTCAACTATATGACACTGTGCTAAGTGCTACATTTGGAAAGACAGAGGGTGCTATGGGAACACCTAGAGCACTTGCAGAAGGTTTCCCCAAGGAAGTAACCTTTAGGCTTCTACACTAAAGTGTAAAAGGATAAGCAGGAGTCAAAGAGAAAGACTCGCTTCTTTGTTTCAGACAGAAATAAAAATATGTGCACAGGCTTAGAAGTGAGAAAAAAACAGTTCTAAAAACTGGATCTTCTGGTAAGGTTGCAGGGTGGAGTTTAAAGAAAAAGTAGTCTAGAAAAGAGGTTGTAGATAAAGGCAGTGTTTAGGCATCAGAGAACCTCATGTACCACATTGTCGAGAAGAGGAAAAATTGAAGGGTTTTTAGTAGAATCGTTGTGGGGGGGGGGAGGATAAGGTTGAAGCTAGGAAGACTAGTTAGGAAGCTGTTATAGTAATCTAGGTGTGAGATGATGTTAACTTGAACTAGGAAAGTGACAGAGCAGCAAGTAAAAAGGCAGTCCCTAGACCTGCTTTCTAAAAACCAGAGGCCAATGAATAAAGTAGGCCAAACCTGTTCCATATATCCCTGAAAGTTAGAAGTATAACTAATAGAAATTACAAAGAAACAAATTTTGGCCTAATAAATATCTGTCTCAAGTCATCTGAGGAAGTTTTAAGTCCTCAACAACTTGAGGAGTTCAAGACAAGATATTTTAGAAGAAATTAAAAATGTCAAATTTTGAAATGCTGGGCTAGGGTAGATTATTTTAAGGTCTTTTCCAATTCTGAGATTCTACAGATGTACTGAATTTCATTTCAGTTTGATATTTGGGGCTGCTCTCTATAATTGATGGGAAAAATGAAATATGCAGGATTAATTTATATCAAAGGATATGACTGTGATCAATACTCTCACAAGGAAAAATATGCTTTCAAATTTTAACATACTTTAGTAACTGATAAGCTTTATGTTAAATTGAGTATCCATGTTTTACAACTGCCTGTCAACAATTAGGTTGTTTACAATATGCCTTAATTTGTCATTGAACTACAACTGTTATTATCACTCATTTTAGCAACAAAACCCAAAACAGAAGCAGCTACCACTGAATATCTTCCATTTGTCTATACTGAGCCAGACTATATTCTATATCTCCCATGTTCATTATAACCTGAAAAATAGGTTTTATTCCCATTTTAAAGATGAGGAAATAGGCTCAGAAAGATTAAGTAATTTGCCTGAAATCACAAAACTCTTAAGTGGGGAATAGGAATTTGAACCAAGGCCTGTCTGACTCCTATGTCCATACTTTTTCTACCACATACCAGCACTTTAGAAAGCTTGAGGAAAGTTGTAAGGAATCATAAAAAATAACTATCATTTACCAAGTGCCAGGCATCTTTACCTGCATTATTTCATTTCATTCATTTCTTCAGCTCACATTCATAGAATGCTTCACTTCAAAGAATGTCAGAAGATTTGACTTAGAGTAAAGTCTGAGTATAGCCGCTGAACAGAATGAAAATCATAATAATCCTCCAAAGTTGAAAAGTATTTGAGAGTTTTTAAGATGTTTTCACATCCATTAGCTCATGTAATCTTCTTTATAACCCTGTGAAGTAGGCAGAATGGGATTATTATCCCCATTTTACAAATAAGAAAACTAAGGATCAGAGTCACAAAGTTATTATGTGGCAGAATTGGCTCTCACAAAACTTAGGAGTTCTGACTCCTAATCTAGTGTTCTATGACTTTATGTTATCTTCTGTGTCAGTGGGCAATGGAAAGTAGTATGTTATAGGAAGAAAAGGCAAGAGTAGGCAAATAGACAATGATAATAAGAGCTGAACACATATAAAGTTGCTATAATTAAATCTATAAAAATATTAATACTTAAAAACTGACAAACATATCAGGATATCACTATTTATGTAACACGCAGAAGGATTTTAAAAGACTCTAAGATGTTAAGAATGATGTTTATGTAGGAACCCTGAAAGCTCATTGAGAAATATTAGTACTAGTTTTATTCCTCAAATCTTAGTCCTGAAGTACACCAAGCAGGGAGGAAAACAAAATGTAGTATCAGTCTGACTTATTACTTATAATATTTTAATATTTTGGTTTTTATTTAGTTCAGAAAGGTAGAAAATCTCTAAGTTTAATTTTAGTTCAATTTATCTTATGAGTAACTTCTTTTGGGACAATCCCACCAAACACTGATTTATAGAAAGTGTGGGTTTATTAGTTTTGGATTCAGTAAACTAAAAGTTACTTCCTCTTGAGTTCAGTTCCTTTTCCTCCCTGTACTCTGTGTAATTAACCACCTCCCCTCTCTTTTTGTTAGCCTGGTCTGTGGCCTTCTGATAAGTAAGACTTTACGTGACAGCTGAGATAAACTAGATGGGCCGATTACACAAACAAGAGCACAGGATTCACTGATTTATGAGACAGAGACACATGGAATTCTTTTCCTAGTTGATTACAACTAGTTCTAATCCAATTCCTAGTTTAGCAATTCTCCTCATTTAACAGAAACCTAAGAAAAATATTTAATATCTTACCTAGCTCCAGGATGTCAGCAGCTTCTATTAAAGAAAAAAATGTAACAGCATTAAGTCATCATGACAAACATACCAAAATGATAGGTGAAATACTGGGGTAAAATAGGGGCTTGAGCATTCTTCTAGTCCAATTATCTCATCTTGAAAGAGTTTCTCAGTAGTAGTTGTGGAAGTACATGACCCAATTTTGCCTTATTCCCAAGATTAAACTTGTAAAAATGATGGAAAAACAGAGAAGCTAAGCAAACGTGCTTAAAACTATGAAGGTAAATTGGGATTAACTATATACTCAGAATCTAGGTTTCCTAATTTCCAGTTCAAAACAAAGAATATTACTATTGATAGACTACTTTTGTTAACTGCAATATTTGATTTTGATTTAATTAGTAAGTTATTTGTAAACTCAGACCTCTAAGCACAAAGGTTTTACAATAAGAGATGTCAAATAAAATTTTCCCATGCTAAATAGAGATTTTTTTCCTTACCTTGATATTGGGATGCCGACTCTGACAGGTGACCATATTTATGTTTTCTAAAATCATTCCAGTCTATCACTGCAGGAGGAGAGAAAATAGTCACGTGGAAAGAAAACAAAAGACTCACTATTTCTCCAATTTGGCAGTATGTATTGATAATTTTTTATAATAAAGTAATCCACTTCTGAGATTCTATTCTAAGGAAATAATCTAAAATGCAGAAAGAAGGTTTTATTTTAAAAGCTTTAGCATTATTTACAATAACAAAAAAAGCAGGGAGGGAATATCTAAATGCTCAAAACAAAGACTGACTATGATTCAGCAATTCATCACTTGACAAAGTATTTTGCAGTTGTTTAAATTTTACATAGGCTAAAGAACAAATGGGAAAATGTTTAAGTTATAACATTATCAAGTAAAATATGGGAACAAAAATATATTCATAGAATGATCACAATTATGTAAAAAAACCAAAAACAAATAGCACCCTGTTATGGACTGCATTGTGCCCTCCAAAACTTAATGTTGAAGTCCCCATTCCCCAGTACATCAGAATGTGACTGTATTTGGAGAAAGGGCTTTTAAAGAAGTAATTAAGTTAAATGGGGTCATTAAGGTGGTCCCTAACCCAGTATGACTGGTGTTCTTATAAGAAGAGAAAATTTGGACCTAGATAGGTACAAAGAAAAGATGATGTAAAAATAGATGGAGAAGATGGTCATCTATGTGTCAAGGAGAGAGGCCTCAGAAAAAAAAAAAAAAAAAAAACAACCAACCCTACCAACAATTTGACCTTGGACTTCAGGTCCTCAGAACTGCAAGGAAATAAATTTCTGTTGTTTAAGGCACCAGTCTGTGGTAGTTGTTAGGGCAGCCCTAGCAAACTAATACAATTTCCAAGAATTATCACTAGAAAGGAAACCGAAGTAAACACAGCAAATATAAATGATTGGTTATCTTTGGGTGGTGGTACTTGGTTTCACCCCCTTTCTACTTTCTAGTCTTTTATATTTTCAAAAAAATTTTTTTGAAAGAGGATAGATTATTCATATAATGGGAACATATTTTCCTTGTTTGAAAATTTAGATTCATCTACTGACCCTACCACTTTCTCAATCACCTAGCATGTCTTCACTTATCTTCTTGCCCCCACTCAGATTCCATGGTCCCTCATTAAAATCATTCCCTGACAAACACTCTTACCTCTCTCCCACCTCTTTTTTGTCAAACTTACCCTAGTAAAGCTTCAGTCTTAACTCTGATTAAAACCACTTATCAACCTACATTGTACCTACCCCAATAGCTCACTAATGCTGAAGAAAAAAACGAATGCAAGCTTACTGGTCTCACTTTAAACTCACGGCTGTAATTATCAAATGCCACTGTACACTGCCTAGAAATCACACCACATTTCCCCATTGTTTACTTTTTCACTTTCTAAAAAAAGTTTTATATCTTTTTCTCTCTCCTCAAACTCCAAATATTCTCTCCCCCAAATTCACTCTTAGTGGATGACTTTAATTCAGGATTCACTGAGAAAACAGAAATAAGGGTAGGACTCTTCTGCTAATTTCATGAAGATAGAGACTTGATCTTGCTTAGTGGTGAATCTCCAGTATATAATATAGTAGCAGGTGCTCAGTTTATGTTTGGTGAATGAATTAATCTACTCATTCATCATTCTTTCTGGACTTCTCTTACTGTGAATGAAGTGTCTCTGTTTTTATCAAAAGACAGAGGTAACTTATCTGTAAACAGATGTTTATTTGGTGTGTCCATGGGTGGAAGGACAGTCAGGAACTTCCTATTCTGCCTTGTTGCTGACCCTGCTATCAAGTATCCTCTTTCTAATAGGCCATTTGTAATGACATTCTTACTGTTCCATTAACTCCTATCAAAACAAAACAAAACAAACATCACCACACCCATCTCTTAATTGCACACATATCCATCCTCTTATATTTTTCCATTTCTCTGGCTCTCCTTCACAGAAAAACTTAAAGAGCTGTGTACAGTTACTGCCTTCTTTCTCTCATTATCTCTTCATTCAAAAAGGGTTTTTCTGCTCACCATTCAATTGAGATCACTCCCAAATTCACATTTCTAGCATTGGCTTCTTAGAATTTCATGCTCACATATACAACTACCTATAGGCCATTTCTACCTGGTTCTCAACCAGATATTAAAAACTTAACAGGTGGCCGGGCACAGTGGCTCATATCTGCAATCCCAGCACTTTGAGAGGCTGAAGCAGGAGGATCATTTGAGGCCAGGAGTTCAAGACAGGCCTGAGCAACATAGTGAGACCCTGTTTCTACAAAAAAAAATAATAATAATAATAATCAGCGAGGTGTGGTAACATGTGCCTATAGTCCCAGCTACTCAGGAAACTGAGGAGAAATGATCGCTTAAGCCCAGGAGTTCAAGGCTGCAATGACCTATGATGCCATTGCACTCCAGACTGGGCGACAAAGTGAGACACTGTCTCTAAAAATCAATCAAACAAACAAATAAACAAAAGAATTTAACAGTACAAAACAGAATGCCACCCTGTTCCTCTTTTTGTCTTCCCCAGTAAATGGCACCTCTAACACCTAGTTGCATGGAACTTATGCATAAGCTCAGCAGCATGAGCCTCCCCTCACCAAGGCCAACCTAGCTATGGCCACTGTGAGTGCCCAATCTGCCATCAGCAGAGACCAATACTGAGCCGCTGATATGGCACCATCCTCCAGGGTAATCAGCCAGCTACACAGTGGTGGCAGGTGGATAACACTGGACCACTTCCTTCATGTAAGAAACATTTTGTCCTTACTATAATAGACTCTTACTCTGGATAAGGATTTGCCTTCCCTGCATGCAATGTTTTTGCCCAAACTATCATCTTTAGATGTGTACACTGCCTTATCCACCATTATGGTATTCTACACAGCATTGCTTCTGACCAAGTCACTGCACAAGGAAGTGTGGCAATGGGCTTATGCTCATGGAATTCACTAGTCTTAGCATGTTCCCCATTATCTGGAATCGTCTGTCTTGACAGAACTGTGGAATGAGATGCCATTACAGTGCCAGCTAGGTGACAGTACTTTTACTGACCCCCAAAAGCTGCAGAATATGTACATTCTTTTCATCAACACATGGAACATTCTCCAGGTTAGAACACAAGTTTGGCCACAAAACAAATTTAAAAGAATTGAAATCTCATCAAGTATCATTTCTGACCACAATGGAGTAAAACTGGAAATCAGTAACAAGAGGAACTTTAGAAATTGTAGAAATACATAGAAATTAAACATGTTCCTGAACAATGAATGGGTCAATGAAGAAGTTAAGAAGGAAATAAAAAAAGGTCTTGAAACAAACCAAAATATAAACACAAATATACCAAAACCTATAGTATAGGGCAAAAACAGTATTAAGAGGGCAGTTTGTAGCAATAAACATCTACATCAAAAAAGTAGAAAGATTTCACATAAGCAACCTAACTATGCATTTCAAGGAACTAAAAAAGCAAGAATAAACCAAACCCAAAATTAGCAGAAGGAAAGAAATAATAAAGATCAGAGTAGAAATAAGCAAAGTTGAGAGTAAAAAAATACAAAAGAACAACAACAAAATGAAAAGTTGTTTTTTTGAAAAGATAAATAAAATTGAGAAGCCATTAGCTAAACTAATCAAGAATAAAGAGAAAAGACCCAAATGAATAAAATCAGAAGTGAAAAAGACAACATTACAACTGATATCACAAAAATACAAAGGGTCATTAGAGACTATAATGAACAACTATAAACCAACAAATTAGAAAGCTGAGCAGAAATGGAGAAATTTCTGGACACATACAATGGCAAGATTGAACCAAGAAGAAGTAGAGAATCTGAACAGACCAATTACAAGAAACAAGATTGAATCTGTAGTTCAAAGTCTCCCATAAAAGAAAACCCGAAGACACAGCTGAATTCTACCAAACATTTAAAGAACAAACACCAATCCTTCTCAAACTCTTCTAAAAAACTCAAGAGGAGAGAATTCTTCCAAACTCATTCTATATGGCTAGCATTACCTGATACCAAAACTAGACAAGGACACACACACAAGATAAAACTATAGGCCAGCATGCCTGATGAACATAAATGCAAAAATCCTCAACAAAACACTAGCAAACTGTATTCAATAGTACATTAAAAGGATCATTAACCATGATCAAGTGGTATTTACCTAGGGATGCAAACAAAGATGGTTCAACATACACAAATCAATAAACATAATGTGTCAGTAAACATCATATTAACATAATGAAGGACAAAAACCATATGATCATCTCAATAGAAGCAGAAAAAGCATTTAGCAAAACTTGACATCCCTTCATGTTAAAAATTCCAAACAAGTTAGATATAAAAGGAATGCACCTCAACACAATAAAGACCATCATATATGACAAACCCACATCACACTGAACAGGAAAAAGTTGAAAGCTTTTCCTTTAAGATCTAGAACAGTAAAAGGATATCCATTCTCATCACTTTTCTTCAACATGGTACTAGAAGTCCTAGCCAAAGCAATTAGGTAAGAGAAAGAAATAAAGGGCATCCAAATCGGAATTGAGGAAGTCAAATTGTCCCTGCTTGCAGATGACATGATCTCATAAATAGAAAACTCTAAAAGCGTCACCAAGAAACTCTTAGAACTGATAAACTAATTTAGTAAAGTTGCAGCACACAAAAATCAATGTGCAAAAACCAGAAGCTTTTCTATATACTAACAATGAACTAGTGGAAAAAGAAACCAAGAAAGCAATCCCAATTATAATGGCTATAAAAAACCAAAATACCTAGGAATAAATTTAACCAAGGAGGTTAAAGATCTCTTCAAGGAACACTACAGAAATTGAAGAGAACACCAAAATAATGGAAAGACATCCCATGTTCATGGATTGGAAGAATTAATATTGTGAAAATGACCATACTATCAAAAGTGATCTACAGGTTCAATGTAATCCCTGCCAAAATACTAATGACATTCTTCACAGAAATAAAAAAAAAAAAAATCCTAAAACTCAAATAGAACCATAAAAGACCCCATAGACTCAAAGCAATCCTGAGAAAAAAAGAAAAAAGCTGGAGGCATCACACTATCTAACTAACAAGAACAGCATGGTACTGGAATAAAAACAGAAATGTAGACCAATGGAACAGAATAGAGAACCAAGAAATAAATCTATGTATTCACAGCCAATTGATTTTTGACCAAGGTGCCAAGAACATAGCTTAGGGAAAGGGACAGTCTCATCAATAAATAGTGCTGGGAAAACTGGATATCCAGATGCAGAAAAATGTAAATAGATCCCCTTATCTCTCACTATATATAAAAATTATATATATATATAGGTATTACCAATATCTTTTTACAGATGAGGAATCTGGGGTTTAGTAATTTTAATAGTGCCATGGATGGGAAGAATTGGTCATGCAAAAGCAATGAAAAATATATAACAGTTCACAAAGGGAGTAGATTCACAAATAAAAAACTGAATTGAAGTAATGCCCTAAATCCTGCTTATACAGATTCATTCGTTCAACAAATAATTATTATCTGCTATTTGTCAGTCACTATTATGGGCACTGGAGATATATCACTGAACAAAAGAGATAGAGACTCCTGCTCTAGCTTATATTCTACTGGAATGTTCACCAAGGGATTACAAAAAATGTGGTCTTTTGGTTGGAGGCATTTGAAAAAACATCCTCTGGAGGGAAGTAGATGTCAGAGAGAGGCTTCCTGGTAATGAGAACTGTGTTGTGGAGGATTGGTTGGTTATTCATGCCCCAAAATGTATAAGCAGAAAAGTTGAATGACCACTTAACACGAAAGATGCTGAAACTTTTCCAAGCTGATAGAGAATTCACGGGTTGGAAAGGCAGTTTAGGTGAACTTCTAAGATCCTATTCAACCTTGGAATTCTCTTTCACCAAGCACCAAACAATATTATGGGAGCTAAGATAGTAACAATATATCCATGTCCTGTATGTGTACTTGTGTTTGAGCACATGTATATATCTTAATTATTAATTATTTATCAGCATGAATGTCTTAGTCTTCTTTATATCTCACACATCTAGGTCAATAAAATGAATGAATGAATACAATGGCATAGGTTTAAAGAGCAGTAGATAGCTTCCTATCCAAATCTTGTTCACTTTGACATTTAAATTCCATTTGCTGGCCGGGCACTGTGGCTCATGCCTGTAATCCTAGCACTGTGGGAGGCCGAGGCAGGTGGATTGTTTGAGCTCAGGAGTTCAAGATCAGCCTGAGCAAGAGTGAGACCCCATCTCCACTAGAAATAGAAACAAATTAGCTGGACAACTAAAAATATATACAAAAAATTAGCCAGGCATGGTGGTACATGCCTGTAGTCCAAGCTATTCAGGAGGCTGAGGCAGAAGGATTGCTTGAGCCCAGGAGTTTGAGGTTGCTGTGAGCTAGGCTGATGCCACGGCACTCTAGCCTGGGCAACAGAGTGAGATTCTGTCTCAAAAAAATAAAAAATAAAATAAATTCCATTTCCAACTTACTATTTTCAAAATAATCCTATAAAGTCTTTGTTAGTTCCATATTGAAATTACACTCATTCATGCTTTAAACAAAAATTTACTGACTGCACATAGTTCCAGCCCTGTGCTAGGTAATAAGGATTTAAAAAACAACAAGGCATTCTCTCTCAGTCTAGAAGGGAGCAAAAGATATATAAGCATGATGAAGTCTTATGGGTGCTGTGTTAAAAGTATGTATGGGGGTTCAGTAGAAACAGGAGAGGGAGGAGCAAATTCTACCTGGGAAGGGGGTGGGAAGAGAAGTTAAGACTTTACGGAAAACACTTGAATTGAGTCTTGGGGATTAGGAATGGGATAGTAAGAAAAGTATACCATGGGGAAGGAATAATATAAAGAAACAATGCCATGAAGCACTATATTAGTTAGAGCTGCTCTAATATGGGAGCCACTAGCCACATGTCGCTATCGAGTACTTGAAATGTAGCTAGTGTGACTGAGGAAGTGCATATTTAATTTTAATTGTTATTCATTTATCAATAAATTTTTTAAATTCACAAAGTTCCTGGGAACACTTTTAAGTATATTTGGAACAAAACTAGGTAGGTGAATTTGCAATACTTTTTCAACTGTAAATTTTTTGAAATCTAAATACAGATCAAATATTTCTGATAAAACTTAGTATCTGAATTGAGATGTGATGTAAGTGTAAAACACACACCAGATTTCAAAGACTTTTTCATAAAATTGTAAATATAAAATATTTATGCAGAATATTTTTATATTGGTCACATGTCAAAATAATATTTTAGACACACTAGATTAAATAAAATTTATTATTGAATTAATCTCCCATTTCTTTTTACCTTTTTAAATGTGGCTACCAAAAAATTTTAAACTACATGCATGGTTTGCATTGTGTTTCTATTGGACAGTGCCATGCTGGACAACTGCATTTCAGTGTGGCTGGGGCACAAGGCATGTAGTCGAATATGATAAGAAGTAAAAAGTGGTCAATATCTACCCAAAGGAAAAAAAATCATTATATCAAAAAGATACCTGCACTGTTATGTTTACTATAGGGCTATTCACAATAGCAAAGATATAGAATCAATATAGCTTTATCCAACAGAGGATTGGATAAAGAAAATGTGGCATATATACACAATGGAATACTATTCAGCTATAAAAAAGAATGAAATAATGTCTTTTGCAGCAACATGGATGGACTGGAGGTCATTTTCTTGAGTGAAATTCAGATACAGAAATACAAAATACCGCATGTTCTCACTTGTAAGTGGGAGCTAAATAATATATACACATGGAAGCAGAGTGTGGAATGATGGACAATGGAGACTCAGAGGGGTGGGCAAGGGTAGACGATGGGAGGTTGCTTGGTGGGTACAATGTGTATTGCTCCAGTGTGTGGATGCACTGAAGACCCCACAATGCAATACATCAATGCAGCAAAATTGCACATGTACCCCATGAATATATACAAATAAAAAAGTGGTCAATATCAGTGGCCAAATTTTTTACTATAATAGTGAAAGTAGAGCTACAATAAGCAAGAAGCAGCTAATGGGTAGAGAAAAGCAGAAGTAGGTATGAAGGACAGAACATATCAATGGCTTATGGGATTTTGGTTCTGGAGGTCCATTACACCCTTTCTTTTCTTTTTTTGATTTCAGAATATTATGTGGGTACAAACATTTTGGTTACATATAATACCTTTGCCTTGCCCAAGCCAGGGCTACAAGTGTGCCACGCTCCGCATCCATTAGTTGAGTGTTTACCCACCTCCACTACCCCCCTCCCACCTGACCAGCACCCAGTGAATATTATTAACATATTAGCACCTTAATGTTCATCAGTTAGTACCAATTTGATGGCAAGTACATGTGGTGCTTGTTTTTCCACTCTTGTGATACCTTACTTTGAAGGATGAGCTCAATCTCAATCCAGGATAATATAAGAGATGCTAGATCACCATTGTTTTTTGTAGTTGAGTAGTATTCCATGGTATAAATATACCATATTTTATTAATCCACTCATGTATTGACAGGCATTTGGGTTGTTTCCACATCTTTGCAATTGTGAATTGTGCTGCTGTAAACATTTGAGCGCAAATGTCTTTATTACAGAGTGTCTTTTTTCCCTTTGGATAGATGCCTAGAGTGGGATTGCTGGATCAAAAGCTCTTTGAGATATCTCCAAATTACTTTCCACAGGGGTTGTACTAATTTGTAGTCTCACCAGCAGTATAACAGTGTTCCAATCTCTCCACATCCACACCAGCATTTGTTGTTTTGGGACTTTCTGATAAAGGCCATCCTCACTAGAGTTAAGTGATATCTCATTGTGGTTTTGATTTGCATTTCCCTGATAATTAGAGATGTTTAGCACTTTTTTATGTTTGCTGGCTATTATTCTGTCTTCTATTGAAAAGTTTCTGTTCATGTACTTTGCCCATTTACTGATGGGATTGTTTGATTTTTTTCTTGTTAATTTTAAGTTCTGTATAGATTCTTGTTTTCACCCCTTTATCAGATGTGTAGAACACAAATATTTTCTCTCATTCTATAGGCTGTCTATTTACTTTAATGAGAACAACCAAGCCTTTATTTTGATGTGGCTTGGTTGTTCAACCTCCCCAGTAATTATAATAAAAGATCCCTAACTATTGCAAATGTAAAGGTAGAAGAATAGGTTTTAGAGAAAATATGACAATTTTAGTGTCAAATAGAAGAGCAAGATTGACTTAATCTCAGACAAATCATACCACCTTAGTAAGTCCTAAGCAAGGGATAAAAATGGAATAAGACATAATAAACTAGAAAACTATGCTTAAACATAAAGAGATTCTCTTTTAAAGCTATTTGATAAGGTTCTTGGTTTCCATTAAACTCAAATTTGATTTAGAATCTAAACTTTAAAATTTGTAAGATATTTTTCTAATAAATTCAACTATTACTATTACTAGTCATCAAAAAAACAGCAAAAATTCATACCTTCCAGAAATGACAGTTTCAATGATACCTAACTAAGGTAATAATATACTGTCTAGCATGTGCCTGATATAGGGTTTTCTTTCTTTTATAATAATAACCTCTTTTATAATAATAATAACCTCTTTATATATATAATCTATATAAAATAATAACCTCTTTTATAATAATAATAATGTGGCCAAACTGTTACAAAAATATTTTTAGGTATTTTTAAAAAACTTCAAATCCCCTCTCCCAACCTGGAAAATTCATGCTAATGACAAAAATGACATCATAGCTATAAATGAATGAATGATCTAATTAGTAATGAAGAATTCCTTAAATTCAGTCTTTGCTAGTTCTCTTAATCCCTCTTACCTACAGGATAGGGTAAAAAGATACTTACCACTAGGCTGCATAGTCAATGGTCTAAAAACTGGTCAAGGAATTAAGAGGTTTGGGATTTATCCCTGGATCCACCAATACCTTGCCCTGACCTCTGAGAAGTCAGTTTCTCTGTATGCTAATTTCTCCATCTGTAAAATAGAGGGGATGGGGAGCAGGAGATGAATACTTATTACCCTGTAAAGTAGTGAGATCTGCAATTATTAACAAATTGGGCTACATTATAAGAAAATTAGGACATTTAGATACACATTTTTTGCTATTAGAATATCTCAGAGTTAAAAGGTAAGTACTATATAGCAATTATAATAATATATAATAGTACTATATAATATAATGAGTACTATAGGTTTAATTTAATTAAGCCTCTATATTCACAGAAATAAAGAATACAGATATTTGCAAATATCCAACAGAGGATATTGGGTCCCATGCAAATACTAAATATAAATATAGTTTCTAACAAACCAGGTTAAACCAGAAAATAAAAAGATACTAAAAACCCATTAATACGGTGTTATGACTGAACTGTATTCCTCACTCCACCACAATTCATGTGTTGAAGCCCTTATTCCCAATGTGACTGTATTTGGAAATAGGGTATTTCAGGAGGTAATTATGGTCAAATGAAGTTGTAAGGGTGGGGTCCTAATATCATAGGACTGGTGTCCTTAAAAGAAAAGGAAAAGACATGAGAGAGAGCTCTCTCTTGGCAGAGAGAAAAATGCCATGTGAGGATACAGAGAGAAGATGCCATCTGTAAGCTAAGGTGAGAAGCCTCACCACATACCAATCCTGCTGGCAACTTGATCTTGGACTTCCAGCATCCAGAACTTTGAGAATATAAATTTCTGTTATTTAAGTCACTCAGTCTGTGGAATTTTATTATGGCAGCCCAAGCACATGGTCACAGGACAAATGAGACTGTAGCAATTCTTTAAGAGTACCTCAGATTCCTTAAAGAACTTTCATTTTTGGCCGGGCACAGTGGCTCACACCTGTAATCCTAGCACCCTGGGAGGCAGAGGTGGGAGGATCACTTGAGCTCAGAAGTTCGAGACCAGCCTGAGCAAGAGTAAGACCCTGTCTCTACTAAAAATAGAAAAAATTAGCTGGGCATGACATGCCTGTAGTCCCAGCAACTCTGGAGGCTTAGGCAGGAAGATCACTTGAGGAGTTTGAGGTTGCTGTGAGCTAGGCTGACGACACGGCACTCTAGCCTGGGCGACAGAGCAAGACTCTTGTCTCAAAAAGTAAAAAAAAAAACAAATAAAAAAGAACTTCCTTTCTTTCCTTCACTACACTCTGAGTGGTGGTAAAGCAGAGCAAAACCAAAATAAAACCAAAATAAAAAATGTTGAATTTGAAGTTAAAATTTTATCCTGATTTGAATCTCAACTCTATTTTCCATTAAATATTATTTTCCCTTTAAGACTTTAGGCAAGTAACTTGAGGAAACTGAACCTCAATTTTCTTATCAAAATGGGAATAACGGGAATAATCCTAATGCTACATACTGGCTTCACTGGGTTACTGTAAAGAATAAATTACAAAATAGCCTTAAAAGTGTACGATGTATAACAAAGATTATTAAAGAAAAAGTTGCTCTTTACTACTTTCCTCACAGGGATAACTCAGACCCTGAGTAGCACAAAGTACTTACCAACAACAACAACACAACCATAAGCCGGGCATGGTGGCTGACGCCTGTAATCCCAGGACTTTCGGAGGCTGAGGCAGGGAGGATTGCTTGAGGCCTGGAGTTCAAGACTAGCCTGGGCAACATAGCAAGACCCTGTCTCTACAAACATTTTTTTTTGCAGAGATGGGATCTAGGTACTTAGGAGGCTGAGGCAGGAGGATCTCTTGATCCCAAGAGTTAGAGGCTGCAGTGAGCTATGATTGTGCTACTGCACCTCCAGCCTGGGCAACAGACGACCCTGTCCCTTAAAACAAAAACAAAATTACAATTTCCTGTTACTAGTTAGCCCCTGAGGATTCATTCTACTCTTCACAATTCAAGTAACTACAGAATATCTGCTAGAATTACTTCTACTTTGCCTCTTCTTCCTTTGATTTCCTCTTACTGTTGACTGGGACCTTTAAAAGTTATGGTAGCACAATCTTCTTGGGGGAAGTGAAAGTACCTCTGTTTATTCCAAAAGACAGTAATAACACTGGAATAAGAAGAGTAACCTGAATTCTCAAAATGGATGTTTAAAGACCTGAAACATTAAGAGAATAGTCTCTGGAACACTCTAGAAAATATATCCTCTCTGGCCAGGCATGGTGGCTCACACCTGTAATCCTAGCACTCTGGGAGGCCGAGGCAGGAGGATCACTTGAAGTCAGGAGTTCAAGACCAGCCTGAGCAAGAGTGAGACCGTGTCTCAAAATAAAATAAAATAAAAAATATATATACATCCTCTTTGATTTCTGAGAAAAGAACACAAGAGCATAGACTACTAATATCTAAAGCAGTGCAGTCCAATAGAATTTTGTGTGATAACAGAAATGTTCTATATCCCTGTCATTCAAGAGTAGCCACATGTGGCTATTCAGCACTTGAAATGTAGCTAGTGCAACTAAGGAGCTGCATAATTAATTGTATTTAATTTTTGTTAAATTTAAATTTAATGAGGCACATGTGGTAGTGGCTACTGTATTGCATTGTGCAGATCTGGAGAATGTAATGATTCTGTCATTTCTGGAAATCCTTTAAAAAAGGATAATATGTAGTAGAAAAATCTATAAGGCCATGGAAGTACCCTTTCAAAATGTGGCAAAATAATCATAACGGGCCACCCCTTGAAGCAAGGAAAAGTAGAAAGAATTCTTCATATATTAAGATATTAAGAAAAACTTCAGTTATAAATTATCACTTGTATATTAATAATAGTAATTATTAACAATATATAACTGTCATTTTAAAAAAATTTTTTTAAGAGACAGGGCCTTGCTCTGTCACCCAGGCTGGAGTACAGCAATGTAATCCTAGCTTGAACTCCTGGGCTCAAGCGATCCTACTGCCTCAGCCTCCCAGGTGGCGGGGGTAACAGACACATGTCATCGTGCCCAGTTCCATTCTTAAATGTTTATTATGTGTTGTATATTGTATTTTTAAGTATTTTATGATGCTATCTTGTCAAATCTTCACCATTTAGCATGGAATCATTACCTCATTTTATTAATGAGGAAATGACAGAAAGGTTGATCAACTTTCTAAAAGGTTACAGTCAGTAGAATAGCAAGGATTTAAAGACAAACTATACTCTTAACTACACTGCCCCTGACCTTCCTCTTGACCCCCCCAAAAAGAAACCCTACAAATATTTCTAACATAAAATAGCTCAGCTTAGGGAACACTATAGCCACGTATGAATGTGGATATTCTACTCATTTTACTACAGTAAAAACTGAAGCACTGCTGCTTATTAGCTTGATCTGGATATTGAACAAGATTAGGCATAGTGTGGGATTCAAAGAAGTAAAACAAGATCAAATATAAGATATCCATAGGTACCATGTTTTATTCATAGAGCTTGGAAAATACAAAAGAAATAATGCAAGCTTGCATGCACATACACATAAGAAAGAAAGGGTGGGGTGAGAAGATAGGGAGGAAGGGAACAAGGAAAGAGGAATGTTTCCCCTAGAAATGGAAACTGGAAAACAGAAAAAAGATGCACTAAATGTACTTCTGAAAACCCATAAAGGACAAAACTATTTTACTGGTAGGGAAACTATAATCCTATGCCAATACATACAGAGATTAAAATGGAAAAGCTGGAAGCAGAGCATCTGCTCACTGTGTCATAGAGGACAAGCTACATGGAGGCAGGACACTGACAGAGGACTGGTCTGGGATGTGCCACTGATTAGCCACTCTCTCTTATTAGCAAGTATTCCTAGTGTATCTCAGCTGATTCTCTGCCTGCAGCTCTCCTTCAATTACTTTTACTTTATTAGGAGATAAGTATGATGAGATGTAATATTCCTCTGGGATGACCCATCAGAAGAGGGGGAAGGAGAGGCAAACTAGGCAATCCTTTTCTCAAAGACTGCAATAAATCCTGTCTCCTCTCTGTAGCAGAACAATGAAGATGGAGCAGAGCTCTCTTTGGCGGTTGTCCTTCCCACCACTTGCTTTGTAGCAACTAATAATACACATCTCTGTGTACATAAAGAGAAGAACTCCAAAGAACACCAAAATTTCCTTCAACAAGCAAGGCAGTTAGCAATGAATGGCTAATGAAAATGCAGAGGTCATGACCCCTTTTGTCCTACAAGTGGTCCTTGCAGATTTCAACTATGTACAATGTCTACCATTTCCAGAGGTTTACAGAGGTATGATACAGAGCACATGAAAAGCTGATGTTTTTTAGAATGCTTCTGGCTCATGCTTCTTGAACAGGGAAGAAGTTTAATGATTCCTGTGGTGCCACATCATATTTCCTGGCAAACATATATGGAGCTAATGTCATGAAATGACAGTAAGTAAGGCATCATCACTATCCTAATCATTATTATTTCAGTCAGTAATTGGAATAAGGGAGATGACAGACCTCAATGCTCCACTCTCTGACAGTCAGAACATACTGGAGGTAGAATTTTATGTTCAAATCTAGGTCCTAAATTCTGAATGAGATATAAATATTCAATCTCATTTAAAGTAAAGAAACAAGGAGAGTGAGGGTTTAAGAAATGAGAAAAGTTTAACCAGGAAAGAAAAGACTCAGGGGAAACATGAGGATTGTCTGAAAATATCTGGAGGGTTTTTATGTAGGGGAAAGATGAAATTTGCTCTTCTGGTTCAATATTACCCCAAGGGAGAGAACTAGGACTAGTGGACGGAAGCTATAGGTAGATGGCTTCAGTGCATTACTAGGAAGAACTTTCCAGCAGTCAGAGGTATCCAAAAGTGGGAAAAACACTCTGGAAAGGAAAGGTATGAATTTGCCATCATTGACGGTATGGAAGCAGAGGTAAGATAACTTCTTGTTGAAGATACTAAATCATTAGGATAAAGAGGGAGGCTGGACTGGATAACCTTTAAAGTCCCTTCCAGATCTGAATTCCAAATCTGAGTTCTGTTTCATCATTAAAAACAACAATGTGCAACTCCAGGTTT